CCCGCCCGGCCCGCCCGCGACCCGAGGCTGTTTCCTCCGACCCTGTGCGAGGGGCCCACTGACGGGACGGGGCCAGAACTCGCACTGCATGGAGTGTCAGCTGTTGGTCAATTAATTATGGACTTTTCTGATGACAGAAGCAGCGGCCGGGGAGTCGGATAAACTTTACATTTCTTGTTTTTTTATTGGGGTGGCGAAATGTCCTGAAATGCATGCTCCTTTTTTGTTTGTTTTGAAGTGAAGAGATGTGCAGACTTTGGTTCGCTGAGGACTGAAGCAGTGTACTTTGACTGCAGACCGTAACGTTATCGTGTCCTGTCCGAACAGCTTCCTTCGGCTGTGACAACTCTTGCTCCAGCCTGCTTCAGACGCAGAAGCCCCCCCAGTTGTGGGTGGTGGGCGGATAACGTGTGTGTTTGGCTCCGCCTGTCTGTTAGCACCGAGAGGTTAGGGTCAGCGGTGGGGACAATGCGGGGGTATCGCCCATTTATTGTTCAAAAACCCCTACAGAGCGAACGCAAAGAGTGCAGGAAGAGAAGTACCACAGGCTGGACAGCTGAGGGCGGTAATGAGTAACGTGGAAAACTGCGAAGGTCCTCACAAATATTTTGCTGTGAATGTTGTTAAGACAGGTAGCTTTGCTCCTTCGTAACATTTAAAACACTCCCTTGTTTTCGTTTTAACATGCAATCTGTAGCCAAACACCTGTTTGCAAGCATTGTTAGAAACTGATTTCTATTATATAATTTTACGAGGCAGCAGCACGAACACTAGCCTGTGCGCCCATCATGAAGCAATCTAGAAGTTGTTTTTGTTTTTGTCCTGACTTGTAAAGGAAGCTGCCGCTCTGCAAGAATGACCTCCGACTCGGCGACCCTCAATCCTGGCAACAGGATCATGACCTTCTACCCGACCAAGGAGGAGTTCAGGAACTTCAGTCGCTACATCGCCTACATCGAGTCTCAGGGCGCTCACAAAGCTGGGCTGGCCAAGGTAATGGCTGCATGTTCAGCAGGGTTTTTGTTTAGCTTTACGAAGGTTTATATTTTCAGTAAACATACATGAGCGATTGGCATGTGACCTGCCCTTTGTTTAAAAAATAAAACCTCTTTGGATCGATGCAGATTGTTCCACCCAAGGACTGGAAGCCCAGGAGGAGCTATGATGACATAGACGAACTGGTGATCCCAGCTCCCATCCAGCAGGTGGTGACGGGGCAGTCTGGCCTCTTCACCCAGTACAACATCCAGAAGAAGCCCATGACCGTGCGGGAGTTTCGCAAGATTGCGAACAGCGACAAGTAAGTATAGGAGGTTCCCTGCTTCCATCTGCTGGAGCGTGATCAATACTTTGCCCCCTGACTGCGGTATGAGTGTGTTGGCGCTGTCGCCCAGGCTGTGCAGGAGCTGTTCTGCAGGCCTGTGCCTACTTTAAGGTGGAAAATTTACTAAATCCGATCTGTTTCCCTACATCACCAATAGATATTCAACAGCATTGCTATTTGGCAGCTTGACTGCATCTCAGAATCATGTGCTCTGCAAGGGCCTGGCCAGTACTGGGGGTGGCAGATCTCCCACAAGAACAAGTTGTTGCTGCAGGTGGTGGTGGTGGTGGTGGACCAATAGATGGCGCTCTATCACCAAAACCAGAGTTTCCAAAGCCGTGCATCGGTATGGTGGCTTTGTGTTGCAGGTTCTGCAATCCACGCTACGCAGACTTCGAGGAACTTGAGAGGAAGTACTGGAAGAACCTGACCTTCAACCCGCCCATCTACGGCGCGGACGTGAACGGGACGCTGTACGACCCAGTGAGTGATGAGAGTTCAGGTTCCCCTGCTAGTCTCGGAGGGTCGGGAAGAGCGAGCGGCCCTCTGGGGTGGCGATTGAGAGTTACGATGCTGGGCACTGTGCCTGATTGCTGGGAGCTCCCCTCCTTCACCGTGAGTGAGTGTCACAGGCAAATAAGTCAAAACAAATAAGATCAGATCACCTGAATTGGCCGTATACAATCTCTTGCATTGGGGAATTCGTCATTTCGCGGACCCCAGCTTGCTCTGCAGGAGACACACAGACAGGGAGAGAAGCTGGGGGTCAGAGCGCAGGGTCAGCCGTTTATATGGAGCAGCTGGGGTGAAGGGCCTTGCTCAGGGGCCCAACGGAGTAGGATTCCTCTGCCGGCCGCGGGATACGAACCGGCAACCTTCCAGCCACAGGCACAGATCCTGAGCCTCTGAACCACTGTGCCTTGTTTTTTTTTGTTGTTGTTGTTGTTGTTGTTGTTGTTTTCCCCCCCAAAATGGGCATTCTCCCTGGGTCTTGGTTAACGTCCTTCGCTGGGGTGGTTGCAGGATGTAACCGAGTGGAACATCGGCCACCTGAACACCATCCTGGACACGGTGGAGACGGAGAGCGGGATCACCATCGAGGGGGTGAACACCCCATACCTGTACTTCGGCATGTGGAAGACCACCTTTGCCTGGCACACGGAGGACATGGACCTCTACAGCATCAACTACCTGCACTTCGGGGAGCCCAAGTCCTGGTGAGGCGTCGTGCTCGGCGGCAGTGCCGTCCCCAAAAGCTCTGAGCGCGGGCAGGCAGCCGGTGCCGGCCTGAGAGAGCTGCAGGGGAGAAGCCGGAGGTTAATTCCGCAAGGGAAAGCGAGGGCAGGAGGAGGACGGAAACGACCCTTCGGCCGCGCAGCCCTTTCCAGCTGCCTCCCGCGTTGTTTGAGAAGGCTAACGGACGAGAGGAGGCTGTTGGGTCCGTGAGGCCCTGTTGGTAGTTGGGGTCTCGCTGATCCAGGGATCCTATCCAGCTGATTCTTGACAGAAGCCAGGGTTTTCGGCTACAGCCACAGCCCTTAGAGAAGAGCCTGTGGCTCCTGCTTCATAGTTCATTGTGAAACTGAATTCCCAGTCTCTGCCAGCTCTGCTTGAGATCCCGAGGGGCCCAGACCCAGGATTAGGCAGCAGCGATCCAGAGGATAAGCTGCAGTGTGGTAGGAGAGAGCCTTAGTGATCCTAAATTTCACTGTTTTTCTATCCGCAGGTATTGTATCCCACCTGAACATGGAAAGAGACTGGAACGTCTTGCTAAAGGTAAGTTGCAAAAATCAGTCTTCACAACTGAGGTTTCTTTCTTTTTCATTGGCATACTGGACAGAAAAAAAAAGGTGCCTTTAGTCTGTGTTTGTCATTTTGTGTATATGTGCAAAGTATGAGTGTTCCAAGACAAATGTTCACGAATAATCACATGTGAACAGCTGGCTTGGCTTATTCGGTGTCTTTTTATTTGGTCTCTCGGTGAAGGTTTCTTTCCTGGAAGCTCCCAGAATTGTGAAGCTTTCCTTCGTCACAAAATGACCTTGATTTCGCCTTCCATCCTGAAAAAATACGGCATCCCATTCGAAAAGGTATCAGTCTGAGAACAAACCCTCCACTTGAAAATATTTTTTTAGCGGTGGTGTTGCAGATCCTTTATGTATTTCGTGTTTTAACGAACAAATGGCTGAGCTTGTTGTTTTCCTTTCAGATTACTCAGGAAGCGGGAGAGTTCATGGTTACGTTCCCATATGGTTATCATGCTGGGTTCAACCATGGCTTTAACTGTGCAGAGTCCACAAATTTTGCCACTCACCGGTGGATTGAGTATGGAAAGCAAGCAATACTGGTATGAGACACTTGAGTATCACATCGGACCTTATTCATTGCACAGATCCCTTGTTACATGAACACGTGTGCGACTGAGTACGATTATAGATGTAGAGAGGGCGTTATTTTGCACATGAGGATAAGTTCCTACAACTGCTTGGCTTTTGCGCATTTTACGTTTTTGGTGAAACAAAAGCTAAAGATACGAGCTAAGCAAAAGGCCGTGCACAGTTCATGCCAGGCAAACATTTAAGAGCTTAAGAAATTCCAGTAGATAGCCCCGTCAGTGTACGTTGGCTGCAAAGGAGCAAGTCGAGGTTTATTACATGCTGGAAAGAGAAGAAAAGAAACGCGACATTTTGGCTGTGTCTTGAGGCGTGACACTTTTTTTAGGTGTTTCTCTTGTTCTCTTTTCAGCATGGAATAAACCTTTACTTGTTCATTTAAGTGTTTATTTTTTGAGAATTTCTTTCTGAATTGTCCCGTTAGCTTTACTTGGACGTTGGTGGGGCTTTGTTCCTGTTTTGAAGTTTTCCCCCCCCAAACGTGAAAGGACCTGCTGACTTTCTAAGACGCACAGATGCCTCTAGTACTGAGGTTCAGAGCAGCAAGTCGGCGGGGAGGTGCCAGTGTCGTCTCCCTCTCCCGCTGCTCATACCCCTTCCCATCCCACAGTGCTCCTGCCGGAAGGACATGGTGAAGATCTCCATGGACGTGTTCGTGCGCAAATTCCAGCCGGAGCGCTACAGGCAGTGGAAGGCGGGCAAGGACAACTCTGTCATCGACCACTCGAAGCCCACGCCGGAGGCGGCCGAGTTCCTGCGGGAGGGGAAGGGGGGCTTCGAGACGGAGGTGCCGGCGAGCCCAGACGGCGGCGAGCATGTGCAGGACGCGGAGGAGGAGGAGGAGGAGGAGAAGAGGAGGTGGGCGCCTGAAAGGCAGGACTTGCTCCCGAGAGCTTTGCTTTAAACTCGTTGAGATTGCTGGTCTTGCGGAGTGCGGGAATCTAGTCGATGGAAGTGTTGGGGGCACCTCCTGAAAATCCTTCCCCTTTTGCTCGAGAGGAATTGTTTTCCAGTTCAACTATTGGCCAGATAGTTCCATGTGCCCCTGCAAATTGATTTTGCTTTTCCTGCCTCACGTTTTGTTGTATTTACCCTATCAAAAGAGTCTTTCAGAATGGCACACTGGTGTAAGATGTAGTCAGGCTGAATTAATCAGCATTGTCAATTTGGACCCAAAGAGTGCGTGAAGCGTGATGATGTCTTAATTAATTTGCTTGTTTATTTTTGCCTTTCACCATAGTGTTTCCAAGCAGAGAATAGGCACCAAGAGACATCGGGTTTGTCTGGAGGTCCCAGAAGAGGTGCTCACCAAGGAGGAGTTTTCGGATGAGCAGTATGAAGTGGACGTCCCGGAGAAGAAAGTGAAGCTGGCAGCAGAGCTGGACTGCCAGACAGTGGTGGGCTGCAAGGAAGGATCCAGCCTGCAAGAGCAAGGTAGCTTCCTTATTCTTCGCAATGGCAGGGCCTGCTGCTGCAGTGCTTGGGATTCCCGAGGGTCTGTCTGCTCAGTAGTGCTTAATGCTCGGGGTCCTGACTGCCCAGCACTGGGCTGAGAGTTGGGCTTCACAAAAATACTGGGGGTGTTGGAGATAATGTTCAAAACTTCTAGTTTTATGTTAACTTGAGAAAAACCTCTGTGCTCCTACTATTCAGGTATTTTTCTGTAGTAATAGTTTCCTCGGGGGGGGGGTTTAATCTGTCGTTCTGCTAGTGTAGTTTCATGTCGTGCAGTCCCAGGTTGCATTCTTAAATTCAATCCAAAGCCCTCGTTCCTCGCTTATCGAAGATGCTTTCTGCAACAAGCCGTGGCACCTTACAGATTCCACAAGCGCTAGCCGAGGTGAGGCTGGGAGAACGACCAAGGCCACGGGTGCAGTTCTCCAAGCGAAGGAGGGTGGCACTCGATCTGTTTCGCTCTGGGTCTTCCAGGGCGCTGTGACCCGGACGCGTGTGGAAGTCGGGGCGAGCAGGCCGCGCCCCCGCCCGCTCCCGGGATCGGCACCGCCGGGGGGGCGCAGGGCGGGACCGACGTCGGTTCCGCTTCCCCGGTCTGGGGTTCCCCGCGGTCCAGCCCCAGCTCGGACCCAGGCCCGCCGGCCCTCCAGAGGACTCTGAGCCCCGCTGAGGCTCTGCAGGTCCACAGCTACGCCAGAGGAGACCGGGGCGACACGGAGACGGGCGTGGGCGAGGAGGCGCTGGCGGGGCAGGCCGAGCAGGTTTGTTCCCACCTCCTGTGGATACGGGCACCAGATTAGATCAGATGAGCGTCGTGGTCTGCACGGCAGGTGGACATTTGTCTTGGGCCTCCCCCATGACTTACAATCCAGCGAAGTCGAATACACAACATACAGTCCATCAACGAGCATCAAGGAAGAGCGACATAGCAGACATGCAGAAGCATAGACTGGAACTGATCATAGTTGCCAGTACCTGGTCCAGCAAATAAAATATCATTAACATCTTGCATGACATTACTCGTGGGGAGTATGGGAGATAAGGGACCTTTTATACATATTCCAACAGCTCTAGGGACTCTGAAACGTCACAAGCTTTGCACACTGAGAATTCAGGGGATGGGAGGCGACTTTAATGATACTTCCTGCCATCCTTTGCGTCACCCTATCGACAATTGTTTTTATTCGGGGCGAGTGGCTCCCCGTGGCTCCTCGTGTTTAACCTTCTGTGCGTTGCCAGGTGCTGGGAGAGGGCCCCGAAAGCAGGACGCTGAAAAGCAAACGGCAGCCTCTCAGCAAACTCCCCCGCCACCACCCGCTGATCAGGGACTGCTTCAGCGACGAGGGTGAGCGCAGGGCGCCGGGGGGGGCGGCGTGGGCTTCCGGGTGCGGTAGCTGTCCGGCCGTTCGGTTGTGACTTTTCCCCCACGCCTTTTCTGCCGGTTTCCCGCAGAGCTGCAGGAGCAGGGGCCCGCGGACGAGGAGACCGGGGAGGCCGAGCCGTGGGCCAAGCCGCTGGCCCACCTGTGGCAGAACAGGCCTCACAACCTGCAGGCCGAGCGGGAGTACAACCTCCGCATGGGGCAGCAGGCCCCCTACTGTGCCGTGTGCATGCTGTTCCAGACGTACCAGCAGGTGAGCAGGACGGCGCCCCCTGCTGGTCCGCGCGCAGCCGGGTGCTTCCTGGCCGCGCGGCCCCAACCCACGTGCGTGCAAGTTGGCCCGGCTGCAGTTGGCGTAGCCGGCGGAAATTCTCTCCTCACGCCGTGCTGAGCGCAGGCGCTTTCCCGTACAGAGCGGCTCTCGTTTCTTCTGCGTGGATTTCTCGCTTTTGCAGTGCAGGTTTCTGCCTAGTTGGTGTAGGGTTGTCTTCACGCCTGTCGCTGGGGAATTAAAACAAGATGGCCCAGGAGGCATCTGCCCTAGAGTGGCCCCGCGCTCTCGTGGTTCAAGGGCCAAGTCGGGGCCTTCTCGCCCCCGTTGTCTCGAAGACTGCAGTGCTGACGCGTGTCCTGTGTGTGCAGTCCGAGTGCAGCGCCACCGTCCGGAGCCCCGAGGAGGACGCGGAGGGGCAGCTGCGGACGAAGCCTCTGATCCCAGAGATGTGTTTCACCGCTACCGAGGACAACACGGAGGTGCGCTTCTCCGCCCCGTACCTGGAGGAGGATGGGACCAGCCTGCTCGTCAGCTGCGCGCAGTGCTGCGTGCGGGTTCACACCAGTAAGCCCTCCGGCGCCTCTTGGGTCTTTTCCGACGCCTCCCGCTTCGCTTTTCTGTCCAGCTCCCCGGGCAAGGCAGGGTGCGCGACGCTCCCGAAGACCCGCGAGAAGAGGGACGCGCGACCGGCAGCCTAAAAACCATTTCGGCTCATTGGAGGATGTGCTACTGCAGGGGAGGCTTCTGAGAATCGCAGTTTATTTTTCTAATTTCATTCTGTACCTTTACCGCTTCTTGCTTTTGTACCAGTAAACTCCCAGGACTTGTCCCCCTGCTGGCATTCCAGCCTCAGCCTGTCCCCTGCGGCTTCTTTTTGCGACCGATCAATAAGCTGCACACCACCAATTAGCTGAAGGGCTCACTCTCTGCCCTCTTTGAATACTCTTTTCTGCCGTGCTGCGGGAAATAACTGCTTTGTCTCGCGCAACAGGCTGTTACGGTGTGGCTCCTGAGAAGGTGACTGATGACTGGAAGTGCTCGCGGTGTGAAGCGAACGCTGAGGCAGAGGTAACGTTTCCCGTGTCCGGCCCCACCCGTGGTAAAGCAAAGCTTTTCCAGAGGGAATGTGGGCGGCATGGCGGTGTAGTGGGTGGTAACGTTGCTGCCTCGCAGTGCTGGGGCCTTTTGGTCAGTTCCTGGGGTGCTGTCCTGCTTCTGGGAAAGCTGGCCCTGTTTGTGTGTGTTTGTGTCCGCCCTGCAGTGGACTGGTGTCCCATCCAGGGTGTACCCTGCCTTGCTCCCAGTGCTTGCTGGGATAGGCTCCAGCTCTCGCGCAGCTTTGCCGTATGGGATAAAGCGGTTGGAAAATGGATGGATGGAAATATAAATGTTCGGCATAATTGTGACCTGGCTTTTTTTTTTTTTTTTAATCCTTTACGTCAAAGAGGCCCAGAAGCTGAAATGTAAGAGAACAGGCATCAAAAGTAAAGCTTCAGGCACAGCAGTGACCGGTAGTGCATGCTGTTCCTCGAGATCCATCGATTGTCGAACTAGCAGTCAGTGTGGCCACTAGAGGGACACATTGTATCACAATGACTTTAGTAAAAACGTCTGATTTTAATGCTAGGCTTTTTGTTTTGTTTTTTCACGTTCCCGGACATCAGTTCTGTTAGTTTGCGTTTTAAAACCTAAAACTACGAAAAAGTAGAGCACAGGGTAGCGTACGAAGGCAATAGAAAACACAGTTGTCATCCCTGGGGGAAAAAAAGCCAGTACTGTTTAGCTCGGCAGTGATATAAATAGAAGACACTCCTCGATGTTAGAAACTGCCAGCATTTTCATGATGGTTTCTTTTTTTTTAATGCGAGTCACTGAAATAGGTCAGTGCCCTCGATTATAATATAACCATAACACAGCACAATCCCACCAGAGATTTCAGCTGCACAAGCCTTTCTTCTCCTGTATTGTTTGTTAGGCAGATGTTATTCCTGCCGTTAGTTTTGAGATATAAAAAGAATCTCTAGCCCGCGCAGGGCCATCCTTTTGTAAGAGAGGTCTCAAACCTGCACGGATCAGTTTGTCGGAATACACCTGCCTGTTCTTCGAAGGGCAGCACATGCGTGTTCCCGTGTTTCTGCTGATGCCTCACGTGTATGCTCCCTCTGCAGAGCTGCTGCCTGTGCCCACTGAGGGGAGGAGCCCTGCGGAGAGCAAACAATGACAAGTAAGCGCTCTCTTCTTCCCCAAGCCCTCTTCCTGCCCCGGAGCCTTCAATCGGAAAAGCTGGCGTTTATTTTGTACGCTGCCAAGTCCCAAAACGGGATTCCCCAAATCTCATTTGCCCCCTTTGTAATGAGGGACTGGGAGCTGACACCCGAGCTGGACAGGGGGCTGGAACTTTGCACTTTTTACAACTGTCGGCCTTGAACAGCAGTGTTGTTGATGTGCCGTTCAAGACAAGTGAACAAGTATGGATTAAGTGCAGTGTTTCAGGAATGTAGATTTGAAAACCTTCATTCGGTTTGTTTTAACGTAATTGGCTGGGACGTCCTATTGTTTCCAAATATACAACTGTACGGTCAAAGCAATCTGCTCAGCTCTCCAGAAGGCGTGGTTTCGACCTTCCACGCCAAAAGTTTTTATAAACCTTGGCAGCCGGGTAATTCAAACTTGCATTTACGGTGAATGCAAAGCATTGTGACAATGTCACGTTATTTAAAAGAAATATCGAGTAATTATGGTCGAGTAATTCGGTTTGTCCCCGTTGGCTCGTCTTCTCTCCAGGTGGGTGCACGTCCTGTGTGCGGTGGCCGTGCTGGAGGCCCGGTTCGTGAACATTGCGGAGCGCAGCCCGGTCGACCTTAGCGGGATACCCCTGCAGAGGTTCAAACTGGTGAGCGAAAGGGGCCCGCCTGCGCGGTCGTTGGCGTTTAATTCGCGGCGGCGTCCTGCGTGGCCCGTGAAGAGGTGGACCGAGAGCCTGTTCTGTCGGGAGCGGCGCTCTTGGTTCCCTGCGTCTTTGCTGCACAGGCTCGTCTGTGCTGTTCTTGTCGCCAAGATCAAATAGCGCTTTGGGACAACAGCCTTGTGGACACAACGGCTCTTTAGTATTCTGACTACGTGATCCATCGGTTCGTTTCTCTTGAAACGAAAATTCAGTGGAGCAGAGGGAGGGGTGCATAGAGTCAATATGTGCCGTGTACACGTGTCTTTCTGCAACAATCTTTCCATTGTAACAACACTATTGAGCAGCATAAAGCTGGACGTGTTGTTCCAGGTAAATTCACAGTGTGTCAATATGTGAATCGTGGACGAGAATAGACCTGCCACCTGCACAGCAGATGTTGGTTTTATAATGCACTGACTGGCCAAATCATTAGAGTCTATGCTTTTCCACCTTCTTGGCGAATTCACTGCTAGAGGGGCCCACACAACATCGCCATTCACGTCTCTTGTCTTTTAAGATCTTGAAGTGCTTCTGTGCCGCGTTCCCGTTTAATTTCACGGGGAAGGTCGAGTTCCGAATGTTTTGCACAGCCAGTGTATTTCTCCACGACGACGAACCCCGCGGTGAAGCGGGCGTGCCCCCTTCCTCTCTCCCCAGAGGATTGTGGGCGTCTTGCATGCAGGTTTTTCCACTCCTGCCCGTCCGGTTCACCCTGAGACATTGGTAACGGAGGCCCGCTTGTGCTGCTGCTGTTCCCTGCAGAAGTGCTTCTACTGCAAGAAGCGGATGAAGAAGACGGCGGGGTGCTGTGTGCAGTGCTCGCACGGCCGCTGCCCCACCTCCTTCCACGCCACCTGCGCGCAGGCCGCGGGGGTCCTGATGCAGCCCGACGACTGGCCCTTCGTGGTCTTCATCACCTGTTACCGCCACAAGGGTCCCATTCACACAGAGGTAGGGCAGCCCCGAGAGGGTGGGTGTCAGTTACCTGGTAATAAACGAATTGCTACTAATGAGTACGGACATAAAATCTCAGCCCTGGCACTTCCAAATGCATAACGGACAAGCTGTTAACACTTGTCAATTAAAAAAAAACATTTAGGGGAACATCTGCCAGCACTCAGTGCTCTGCCCTCTGCATTTTCACAGCGCAACAAGGCAGTCTTGCGGGAGCTCTGCGTGGGACAGAAGGTGATCTGCAAGCACAAAAACGGCCGCTACTACCAGTGCGAGGTGGTGAGGCTGACCAAAGAGACCTTTTACGAGGTCAACTTCGACGACGGCTCCTTCAGCGACAACCTCTTCCCGGAAGACATAGTGGTGAGTGGGGAGCTCTCGGCCTCGCGCCTCGACCGCCCGCGCCGGGTGGGTGGCGTTGACGGTGACCCCGTCTCGTCTCGCTGTCCCCCCCCCCCCCCCCCCAGAGCCGAGACTGCCTGCAGCTGGGCCCGCCCGCGGAGGGGGAGGTGGTGCAAGTCCGGTGGACGGATGGCCTGGTTTACGGAGCCAGGTTCGTGGCCGCCCACGTCATCCAGATGTACCAGGTGAGACGGGGCTGTCCAAGAGAGGGTTGGCACCGAACGAACGTCCACTTCTGTTTTAGAATGTGTGTTTTTATATTGGGGAGGTGTGAATTAATAGCGTGGTCACTGGTAAGTGTTTTGTGGGTATCTCAGTCTGTATCCTTGTTTCATGTGTGTTAAGGCTTTGCTAAGAGCAAAGAAGCGGCAGAGAGTTCGTTTTTCTTCAGCGGGAAGGAAAAAAAGCTTCATTCGACTCCTCTTTCTTCTCCGCGGCAGGTGGAGTTTGAGGACGGGTCGCAGCTCACGGCCAAGAGGGACGACGTCTACACTCTCGACGAGGAGCTGCCCAAGAGAGTCCGGTCCAGGCTGGTGAGCCGCCTGCTCTTTCCTGTCGGCTCCCTGGAATCGGGGCTACAGTGTCGAGCGCCGCGGTGGGGGGGGGGGCGTTGCATCACGGCCACCCTGACCTCGCGATCTCGAGGGGACCGGGGGCGGCTCAAACGAACCAGCTCGTTACAGAGACCGAGGAGATGGCGGGGAACAGCTGCCTACAAAATGATTTCCACAGCGAAGCAGAAGACACGCATCCAAAAGCTTTAATTTGCGTAACGTTGTTGTTTGTTTAAGAAAGTGTTTTCGGCTTGTTTCAGGTAAACGCAACTTGGGTGAGCACCGTTTATTGGCATCGGTATTGTTTCATGATGATTTACGGAAGCCCTGTTTCTATCAAGTCACAAAGGTGTTGTTGCCCATCCATGTGGGGACCGAAGCAGGGAATATTTAAAGTCATCAATTTTTTTTTTTTTGTCGTGTGCGCCCACGTGTTCTTTCACGTCTCTGGTCGTGGATGTGAACCCCACAAACGCACGCGGGGAAATGAGGAAGTAAAGGCAGACTCCTCCGACCCGTCTCACCCCCCTGATACAGGAGGCTGCTCGCTGATTGGTGTGGTAGCCGCCCCTCGCCGACGGCACCGCATTCCTGCGAGT